TATATATATATATATGTAGAAATGAAATTCGTCTCATAGATATGTGAAATCTACCGAAACCACTTAATTGTCTCTTTTTTTTATCCAACTAAAAGACCCGAATTCACTTCATTTTAGACTTTTTTCCAAAAAACCGAATCACTTTTTCAAACGACAATTTTCATTCACAAACACCTAAAACATTTTTATGAAACTCTTATGCATTTTGTAGAAGAAAAGAGGACAAAAATCTTGGCTAAAATTTTTTTTTAAAAAGTATCCGATCAAGCCACATACCCACGATATATATTTATCAGCAAAATACACAAAGAATTCTACTGAATATGGAAAAGTAATATGGGAAATAAATCTGTTATTGGCAAAGCAAAGAGAACTCAAAAACAATACATATTGGACTACAGTACTAGTAACTGTTTTATATAATTACCAAATTAGTTATTGGCAGTATCTGCCTATTTTAGCAGAAATTGAGAGAATAAGAGATGCTTTTTTTACGTGTACGTCACCTAACCAACTTGATAAAACAAAAATGCCTGTCCAAAAACACTAAAAGCACACGGTTAATTCATCTTTAGAAATGAAGCTCACTGATAGACAACAGACAGTTTTTCTTCTTAATCTGCCAATCACACGCTTCTTCTTCTTCTTCCTTATCGTTTTTCCAGATACTTCATTTATTCAGTCTAGTGATTAGAAGTTATTTGGTTGGAATCCTACCGTTAACCAGATTTTCCCATGGACTTCATTCATTACCCAGTATATTCAGAAAACTTTCGTTTAGAAGATGGGTAATCAGTTGACTAAAGGAAATTGAGGAATTTAGGGACCACTAAGTTCATAAATGTGAAACAACAAAAGCAGCAATATCCAGTGTCAATCACTATCAACGGGAGGTTACTTCATTCACTTATCTAGGGAGCACTGTCTCAACTACAGGAGGAACGGACGAGGATGTCAAGTCCAGTGAGAATCGGGAAGGTGAGAAACACATTCATCAACCTGAAACCAATCTGGAAATCTTCGTCACTCAGCCAGCATCAACAACAAAATCCAGTTGGATTTTCAATACAAACGTCAAGTCAGCTAGCACTTCTATACGGATCAGAAACTTGGCGGGAGGGTCACAAAGAATATTTCCAACAGCCTGTTGCAGACCTTTATCAACCAACAACTGTCTTCGCTGGATCTATACTGAAGATCAGATGGCCGGGTCGGAAAGAATCACCAACAAGAAACTATGGAAACAAACAAAACAAGAACGAATCTCCCAACAAATATGCAGGAGAAAGCGGAGATGGATTGGACACTCACTGAGGAGGCCTCTGGGTGACATCGCGCGTCAGGCCATCGCTTGAGTGGAACTCGAAAGGGAAGTGGCGAGTGGGACGTCCAAGGGTGAGAGATCGTGTGAAGAGGAGTTGACACAGTATGGACTACCATGGATGCGGGTGAATTGTACAGCAGAAGACATAATCAAGTGAAGACATGCAGTTGAAGCCCTATGTTCCACTAGGAACCCAAGGGAACAATAATAATAATAACAAAGTTCATTAACTCAGTCTTGGAATGATTCACACCTTTACAGATAAACAAAAATTCAGTAATAATCTTATCATCTCATTCATTTTATTGATCCGACAAACATTTTTTCCTGCTAAGAAACCGGTGAATAATTATTTCACTCGAATAACTTAACATGAAAGGATAGAAATCACAGCTCCTAAAGTTATTTTTATAGATATGAAAATATCTACCAGTATGAAACCACATGTTTTTGTTACCAACAGGCAGAAGAGAACAGGATCAAAATTTGACACTAAAGTCTCAGGAAAGATTTTATCTGATATTTTATTTTGATGGGGAAAAACAGTGACAGCATAGGAAAATCATTTTTAACATTTAGGCAACCTAATCCTGTTCAGGGGTAGACAAAAAGGAGTTTGCATAAAGAGCATTCATAAAATGGATTTTCTTGAGATGAAATGTCTTTTAACCACGGATTTTCTAAGAAATTATCAAGAATGGGAGAAAAAAGTTGAAGAAATTCGAGAAGGAAGTTACAATAAACGCTATGTCTTGCTTGAAAGTTGAGTACTACCTTAAGATTTTGGTAGCTTTTTGTTATATGCATAAAATACGACAAAGTATCGGAGATAGATTGGAATACGCTCGATTTTACAAAGAATTTTGTTCATGAGAGATAAAAGTCAGTTTTTTCTTCAATAACAACTTCAAACAACTACAACTCCATGGACTACTACTCGAATAATAAATTAATCACTATCTCAGTAATATTTTCAACAGTTTTAATTTCGGATCTTTAATACATTTACAAACATTTATAAGTTTGAAATATATTAACCAGTAATCAACTTGAAACTTTTCAGTAATTTAAGTCACTTTTATTTTTACACTCTCCCATTTTAATTGAAGGATTAGCTGGACAACATATATTTACAACAATAAATCTCTTAGGGTATTCTAAACTTATCAGGTAACATAAGGTATGAGAATAAAAACCTACTTTTTAGAACGTTTAATGAAATGCATTTAGTTCAAAATATTAACAAAAGTCCATCCGATTTTATTACACTTCTGCATAACTATAAAAACAGGTACTTAGAAAGTATTCTAACCATTCGTTTCAATGTAACTGCTTCAAAAACGGATTTTAATCAGTGTGGTTCACTGAAAACAGCTTTTTATCTTTGTCAGTGAATTTTTATTCAAGACTGAAATCCTCATCAAAGATACAAGTTCTAGAAGTCGTCGAACATTTACGCTTTGGAATGTTTTTCAATTAAACGGTGAATAATAGCCCACATAGAAACAAGAAGTAAAATGTTATTGAAAACGCGATAAATTCGTAGGTGAAGGTTTCGATTTCAGCACTTTAGGAAAAAGTATTATCCTTACTGTCTGTGATGCACTCATGTGCCTTGCCTGTTTTACTAATGATTTGTAAGTCCGGAAAACGACATTGAAATTTGCCAAAGTCTAGCAGCTCGATTTCATATAATCAACAGCAACACTGGTGAAACTTTTAAAGGTCTAAACTCCATGTTTAGTTCGAAAAGCAGAGGGAAGGAATGATTGTATGGAGGATTTAATCATGAGCTGGCATCAGTTAGAGAACCACTGGAAAACCTGGGAGTACTGGACAGCTGTTTCGTCCTAGTTTGGGACTCCTCAGCAGTACGCACCCACCGGGGTTCGAACCCAGGACCTTCTGGTTACAAGGCGAGCTCGTAGACCATTGAGCCACTGGGACCCGGTCCAATGGTCTACGAGCTCGCCTTGTAACCAGAAGGTCCTGGGTTCGAACCCCGGTGGGTGCGTACTGCTGAGGAGTCCCAAACTAGAACGAAACAGCTGTCCAGTACTCCCAGGTTTTCCAGTGGTTCTCTAACTGATGCCAGCTCATGATTAAATCCTCCATACAATCAAACTAAATCCCTACAAAACCAACATCCGGAAGGAATGATCACGAAAGTTTATAGTACTATCAACAAATTGAAGTAGAATTTTCTTTTTTTTGAAATAACAAGTTTACTTCTTCCTTTCCACGTTATTTACCGCATTTTAAATTGAGAATGAAGTTATGCAGAGTAGAGTGAGACAGCTGTCCATTACTGCCCGGCTATCAATGGTTCTGTAACTGATATCGATCCGTGATAAGACTTAAGATAAATTAAATTCCGACAAACTAACTCTTGAGAACTAGTCTGATGCTTTCCATTGGCTAGCTACAGGACGGAATCGCCTAGAGTTCTAGTGGGAAATCGTGACTGATGGAGTCCATCCGGTAGGGAGTGGGGGGGGGGACAAATACTCGCTGATAATGACTTTGGCTGGTGTCAGTCACGTTAAAATCACGAACTAGTAGAAGTTGGAATTCATGAGATGGTCACTGAGTAAGATTTTGTCGACTGAATGGTCAACGAGCTCGATTTGTAACCGAAAGGTGCTAGATTCCAATTGTGGTGGGTGCGTACTGTGAAGGATCCCAAACTAGGATGAAGCACCTGTCAAGTGATCCCTAGTTTTCACTGTTTCTCTGACTTATATCAAAACTCTACCAAACTTGAAAGATTAGAATAAGTTTAGTCACTCCGTTTCAATGACTTTGCAGCAGTTTCTAAAGATATTCAACGGGGAAACCGCTAAGGTAGCTATTTAAAAAATAAGTGATTGTTCAACTTTCCAATGTATTAGTGATCTCTAAGAATTAGTTTGTAGAGATTATGTTTGTTCCAGGTTAGACCACGGATTGATATCAGTTAGAGAACCAGTGGAAATCAGGGAGAAATGGACACCTGTTTCGTCCTAGTTTGGGATCCATAGACCAGGCAAGACCGTACATCCTACTCACTGTCACTGGTTTCAGCGCGACCACCAATCAGTGTCACCATTGGGAACTCCATCTTCACCCCTGACTGAACGGATCCCACTGGTCACTAGACCTCTAGGCATTTTCTTCTTGTAACCAGTCTCTAGCGAGCAGCAAATTAATTTTCATAAGTTAGTTTGTAGCGATTGAGTGCGCACTACCGATGAATTTCAAAATAAGACGAAACAGCTGTCCAGCACTCCCGGATTTTCAATTATCCTACGACTGATATCAGTTCGTAGTATTAATAATCGTCTGAATTGTAAATGTGATTTTTCCTAAAGATTACTGATTCAACTGTTGTTTACAGAACTACTCAGGATAGCATACTGATAATGTAGATAAATTCTGTGTGCATTAATAGTTTCACACTAATAAACAAATTTTATTTTTAAACTTCCGTCGAACTGAAAGATTTAAAGCAATTCATGTTCTCTATCTTACAAATAAACTACCTGATTCTGAAGAGGGTATATTATATGATCCAAATTTCAGAGTAATAGTGTTGACCAAAAATTTCCCTTTATTACGAGTGGTTGAATTTAACGAAACATGATTGGCTGTTTTGTTGATTGCCTAATATATATATTATTGTATGCGGAGAAGAAATGATTTTAGACTATAAATCTAAAGTTATCCTAACATATTTTTAACTCTAAACAAATGTAAATAATAAAAGATTGAAAACGAAACCGTCAAGGATGAATAACACTTCATATTATGATGAAGCTCTTTCAGACATTACAACCGGTGGTGAAATCGAATCATCTAGTCCTGTTATCATGCTTCTTGTGTCTGTTGTCTATCCTCTTATAATTATATTCAGTACAGTTGGTAATAGTATTGTCATATTAACTGTAGTACGTAGTACAGCAATGCGAACTATTACAAATTTATTCATATCAAATTTAGCTGCATCTGATCTGTTAATGACATTTGTTGCAGCTCCTGTTACACCGATTGTATTTCATATGAAAAGTTGGAAATTACCAGAATTTCTGTGTAAATTATTGCCTGTAACAATGGGCGTTAGTGTGTATGTTTCAACGCTTACGTCAACAGCTATAGCAGCTGATAGATATTTAGTTATTGTTCATCCATTTCGAACACGAATGTCACAGCTTATATGTGGACTTATCATAGCTGGTGTTTGGCTTATTTCTGTGCTTATATCATTACCATTAGGGATTTACACAATCATTAAAATTGATGCAAAAAATAATGAACCTTCTTGTATTGAAACATGGCCACATCCGTTATCAAGACCAGTGAGTTAATTATTTGTCAGTGAAGTATTTTTTTTAATGTTTTGCTTATTTAATGATGCCTAAATGCGTGTTAGTTACAGTAATAACTGAATCCATTTGTTACTTATGACATTATTATTATTCTCTGAGCTTCTGAGTGGAACATAGGGCTGAAATCGTACATCTTCACTTTATCTTATTCTTTGTGGGCCTCTTTAGCTAACCCCACGATTGTTCTTAAGCCTTCAACTCCTCCACGCAATCTCTTTCATATCGCTATCTGTCCAAAGCCTACAACTTGTTGTTTCCGTCGTAGAATTCCGCTCAACAGCTTCGCGTGATATCACTTAACGGTCTCCTGAGCGTGAGTCCCATAGGTCTCCATTTCCTTCAATATTTTTTGGAGAAACTAGTCCTTGGTTGATTCGTTTCCAGAGTTCCTTGTTGTTAATTCTGTCTTGCCGGCGATCTAATCTTCCTTATGGAGTCAGTGAAGGCACCTGTTGATTAAAGTCTCCAGCATCAGCCTGTCGAAAATGCTTTCCGTGACGCGCCGAGTCCCTAACCGATAAAGAAGAAATGACTTAACATTAGCGTTGAAGGTCTGGATCGTATTCTCTGTGCTCAGCGCAGAAAGTGGTGAAGGTTTGCCTTACTTTTTCTATTTTGGTTTTGCCATCCTCTTCCGTGTTGTGTGCCTGTAGCTAAAAGGATACTGCTTAAGTAAGTGAAAGAAGTGAGCTCCTCCAAACTTCTCACGTTATTGGTGACTGGTTCGTGTCGTTGTTATCGGTTGACTATCTTCGTCACCTCCACTTGAAGTCATGCCTTCTCCCAGTTTTTCAGTTTTCGTCTGTACGTCTTAGAATGTAATGTGACACCAGACATGAAATGTTCGTGAATTCCAAACATTCTAATCTTCTTATCAGTCCAACGTATAACTGTCTTCTTGTTCCTCACATTGTCTCACATAACTCAGTCCATCACAATTACGAATATCATCGGTGATAGTAGGCAAACTTTTCTAACTCCGGTTTTTAATTCAAAGGCTTCTCTGAGTTTTCTGTTGTGAGTCACTTGACATGTGGTATACTTATCACATAGGTTACTGAATTAACGAAAATGTAATGTTTGAACAAAAATATCTTCGAAACAATTTTTGAATTTTAAAAAAAATTGTCTTCACTTAAACTATTAAAATACTTTAAAAGGTTTTGTTTTCACTGAGAAATCGAATTCTCTAGGAGTTAACTGTAACAAAGTGTCCCATCGCCTAGCATACACACGTGAAAACTCTTTTATGGCTTAACTAAATAGTTTGTGTTTACCAAGGCTATAGGTGTGTTAACATTTTTATAAAGCAGTTAAGCTCACAGTTGGCCACCTGTTTGTGTTCATGAAAGAATAATTCTCAAACATGGTTCTCTTAGATCTTTCATGTCTTCTGGTGATAAGCGGTTAAATGGTTTGTTGAAAAGAGTGAAGTATTCGTGTGTTTAATAGATCTAATCACCATGCTATTATATTTGACAAAAAAGAACTCAGGTTTCTTCGCTTGCTTGAACAAAATTTGATTCTGTTAGGACTTCTACAAATATTTAATAATTCCCATTGTAACATTAAGAACACAGTATTCAGCCAAGAGACTCTTTTCAACGAATTTATTATCAAGCTGTACAATCGTATATATGTGGTTTCATTTTATCCGGTGAGAAAATTAAGTCAAAGGTATGAATACATGAAATAATAATAATAATAGTAGTATGAAATGTAATTAAAATATTTGTGATTATAATCATAGTTCACTGTCAAGTGGCAAAATAATTAATCTCATATATAGAATAATACATAAGTTGTACAGATTTTAGAAGGGGTTACATAATTGTAAGATTAGTAGACGGATATAAAATGGTACATAACATGGTGTGAAATTTGATAAGATGTGATTCAATATTGTAAAAATAAAAAATTGATAATTTTGGGTTTAAAATGACAAGTGGGTCAAGTGGAAAAGATTCAGAGTGAGAATAGTAATAATAATAATGGTAATAACAATAATAAAAATAACCGTCGTAATGAGGGAAAGGTACATAGAATAACTAAATAAACAAAATAAATAAATGTCTATCCCTCTACGGCCAAGGCCGGAGTAGGGATTGTACGTACTTCTTTTGTACACAAACGTCTGGCTTGGAGTTATGAATGGCCAAGGCCTGTCTTTAGAAGTCTGTATACCTTTCCAAAATACATACACCTCATGTATTATTCTATATATGACATTAATTATTTTGCCACTTGACAGTGAACTATGATTATAATCACAAATATTTTAATCGCACTCCATACTACTATTATTATTATTTCATGTATTCACACCTTTGACTTAATTTTCTCACCGGATAAAACTTCTTAAATAAAACCACATATATACGATTGTACAGCTTGATAATAAATTCGTTGAAAAGAGTCTCTTGGCTGAATATTGTGTTCTTAATTCTACAAATACCTCCATGGAACACTGATAGCACAACAAAACGCACTCCAGTTATGTTCAGCCTACATAGGTCCATTGAATTCAATATGTATTTTGAAGTTCACTAGCAAATAAGTGAAATAAATTTTCTACAAATATAATTTTTATGCGAATAACAGAGAAACACTGGATCCATACATCAACTGTAACATGACATTGTTAAACATACAGACAGATAAAGACGCTCTGCCTACATTTCCAGTAAGTAATACTCTTGATATTTTTTTACAAATAAAAATGTAAAGTGAGAATTGATAGAAAAATTTTGGGATATTTCTGAGGGTACGAGCAGCATTCAGAAATCTTCTTTTATATAATCCGAAAATATATCTTCTAGAAATTTTGAAATATGGAGTATATATTGATTCTTGTATGATTTAATCCAAACATGAAACTAAAATATTGAAGGCAGATTGTGTCATTTAGGGAATTCAGTACGATGACTGATATAAATTTTGGTCTGACTGCTCCCATCATTCTTATATTTCTGAAGCCATGTTTAGTGGAGTCTGATAAATTGCTTGAAAGCCTGATCACCAGGCATTTATTTGTAATAATATAGTACTTCACAAATAATGAGAAAATCCACTTTTGTTTTACGTCTCTCAATTTTAATATAGTACACTTCAGAAAAAATAAAACATTATTTTTCATACGACCAGCAAAATAAGTTCTTTCATAAGAATACTGTCGGGATACTTTATAATTTTGAAAGATATAAAACGATTAAACTTATGTCATGCCATAGAATAAAACCCAATCATACCCAGACGAAATTATAACACTGACAAATAAATGCTTTCTAAAATATACCCGAAAATACATCAACATTGAAATTAAGCGATTTCATTTAGTACATACACAAACGATACATATAAATATACTGGTTTTTAAAGTTAAGAACCCCGCCTACTTTACTAGTTCTCTAGTTTCCTACCTGATCTTAAGCCCAGAAAAAGAGGAAAGGTTAGATGTGCGTCTTGTGATCCTACTCCGCAAAACAAATTGAACTGCTACAGGGACTTCAAACACAAGATAAATATAAATAACAAACTTATTCTTCGCTGGAATCAGAGAGATGAAATAACTCAGGCTGTTGATAGACTTCGGGAAACCAGCCAGCCAGCCGATATGCTGTCTTTTGATGAAAACAAATACAAATAACAGGACTTCGAATGTTCATATAATGTACGAACCTGGGAAGGCTTCCTAGGTAGCTAAAGGAACGAGAAGATATGGCATAGAAGTGCTTGAATCCTTATTGTTCCCGTCAGAATCCAAAGAAATAATACTATAGCAGTTATTTTAAAATTGAGACTAGGTGCTTTACACACCTCAGTGTGAATCCCTTCGCTACTTAATTATCGCCTCAAGAATACAATTAAGTGCATTCGTGAAAAACCCAATAATTTTATTTTTCATGTATGACAGAAACAGTTCCACTATTTGTTCCTGTAAATGAATATACATAAGTATATTCTTTCTCTATGCTCTAGAGGAATTGTTTAACTAATGGAAACAAAGTCTCTAATGCATCCTTACTTATTATTTTATAACACCCTATGTGTACAGACGTCCTGTGTGATACACATTAGTGTTATATTGGCAGTTGATAATGGTTAGAAGAAGCCTAATATCTTTTGAAGGATGTTCATTTAAAATTAACATTTGATGAACATTTAGGAAGATGTTTTTTTAAAAGATAATAATTACTTTCATCTAAAGATGTATAATTCACACACCAAAGACTTATTTATCATGCCAATATCTTTTATCTAATGCACTACTTATTAGATACTCATTCATATAAACTTGTCTGCTGTCTGTAATCTCTCATAATCTCCATAAATGTAGTTCTTTTTCTTTTTGATAACATTCCTTTTCTCCAATAGCTTGTGTAACTGTATGCATAATAAACGACATTTGTTTATTTAATAATATTTATCGTAGCTATGTGTCGTCTTAAGCCAAAAATGACTGTGATTTCACACGTTATATCAACTTCAGATTAGAAATAGCTTATATAGCATGAATGAATAAGTGAGATGTGCGTCAGTAGAACAATGATTAGGACTCTCGTTGACCATGCATATGGTCCAAGTTTCGATCCCCTGTCAACGCACACCTGATATCAACTGGTCGGCCTGCGAAATTTGGACTAGCTGCTAAAAGATCCATACTTGTACCAAAAATACGGTGTGGAATCAAGCTATAATCAAAATAAAAAATAAAAATAAATGTGTAATTTAAATTAATTATCATCTGCTGAAGAAGCTGTGGCTTACACATAGAAACGTTCAGAAAAATCATGTTTTCTTTAAACACACTGGGATTATTTTAAATAATTTATAATGATTCAATCTGACTTGGAGCTCAAATTATTCCAGGAAATTCATAACATCTACGATCTGGAAACATATAATTATCATGTCAGTTATTATGAATCGGTGTTATAATTCATTGCCTAGATTTCTAATCCCCTGAAATT